TATCCTTTATGTTCTGTCTCCCCCCCCCCAACAGGGTCACATATTAATTCTCACCTGCCCCTGGGCAGTATCCAGTATCCTTATGTGTTCTGTCTCCCCCCCCAACAGGGTCACATAATAATTCTCACCTGCCCCTGGGCAGTATCCAGTATCCTTTTGTGTTCTGTCTCCCCCTCCAACAGGGTCACATAATAATTTTCACCTGCCCCAGTATCCTTCTGTGTTTTGTCTCCCCCTCCAACAGGTTCCTAAGCGATGGTTCCCACCTCACCGTGGTGCTTGGGTGTAACGTTGGGAGCTCTGCTCCTGGCGGCCAAGAGGAACCCCCCATGCACACCTACAGTGCATGGGTAGTACAATAGTATATTTATTAATTACTTAATTTGGATCATCATTAGGAACTTTGAACTGATAATTACTGCAATAGGTGTCGCTTTAGTTCAGACATATGTAGTTGACTTAACAAATGGACTAGCATGTTTTATTTTACTACGGTAGATTGATGCACCAGAGGATGTGCATTTCCTGGTGTGAAGATAGAATCAGAGACAGAACCATACAGACAGAACCAGGGAGAGAAGGTACACAAACAGAGTCACATAGACAGGTTATCAGGTTAGTAAATGGAACTTCGAGTAAATACGGTATGGAACTTCTGGTTGGATAATTGACACTATATCTCTCAACTGGTTTATTGCCGTATGATCTTGTGTTGGTAAGGAGCAACTCTAAAACTGATAGTACCGTAATCAAATTGTGCTCTCTATGTCCTTGTGAGACTATTCCCTACCATTCCCCTCACTGTTCGAATGCTGGGTTTCACATCAAAATCAGTCGCATTGTTCACAGGAGTGTCGCAACAGCCTTAGTCACAAGGACTTGGTCGCACGACTACGTCGCGAGACCAAGTCGCAAAGTCGTCAAATCAAGGCGAACGTCGATTTCGGCTAAGGAAGAAAAACGGACTATCGTCAGATTTGCGTAATCTTACAGCTAACCTCGGCTCACCTCTCCAACGCATCGATCAGCTTCAATGCGGACCTCCAAAGATCGTCGGAACCTCCTCCCGTCGCACATAGTTGCCGCGAGTCCACCCGTCAGCGATAGCTCTTACTGATGATTCCGAGCCGCCTCAGACTCACACTCCGCGACGCTTAGGCCTTGTGCGATGGCGCCGTCGCTTCGCGCGATCCGTGCGACGTTCGTTTGCCTTTCGCTGAACCTGACCCTGTGCAATGTCTTTACCGGACGCTACTATACCGCGCCGAATCTCCCTTCCCCCGCAACTCGCATTCCTGGAGCTGATTTGACGGAGGCGGCAGCGGGGTTCGTGCTGCCGAGCTCGGCGCGCAGCTGCGACGAAGAGGAGAGGATTAATGGAGCCAAGGGGTTGGTACCCTCGCTAGGCGAACTCACGTGGTGCGTTTCACCCTTAGCGCCCTGATTTCACTCTGGTCTCCTTGTGCTCCAATCAGCCCTGTCCTGGTCGCGCTCGTCAGCGCCTCTTGATATAAGTCCTTCCTCTTCACTCCGTTCCCCGTTCCCGTTCCGCTGCACTGCATTGGATTCTCCATTCCGCATCCCCCTTCCGCATCCCCCTTCCGCATCCCCATTGCGCTGGGGACCATTTTTTCCGTTACCTTTACTCCTTGCTTTGAAATTTGTAATCAAATCTTTCAGTGAAGTCCTTCCCACTACCCTGTTAGAGCTCCCTTGTTGCATGCATGGGTGCCATACCATCCTGATGTCAACACCCAGATCATGCCACGTCACCCCCTGACATGCCACGTCATGTGCAGGAGTCCCGGTCTATGTGACTTGGAAATGCGACTGATTGCATCAGTGCCAAAGCAGAGGATCGCAGCACAGCGCCACCGTCGCCACCATCGCACAGCCATCCGCACCTGTCTTCTCCCTCTCGTCAAGAAAGGTACGCCAACAATGCTCTCACAACCTCCCCACGCCTCTACCTTCACCCATATCCCCCGTCAATCCCCCACCCAAACGCAGTCTACAACCACTCACTATCATTGCTTGCCCCTTTTGAAGTCCGAGTTTCTCCCCCTCAATTCCACCGCCTCCCTTCCCTCCCCCCCACAGGAACCAAGCTGTTCAAACTCCTCCCCCCGCCGCCCCCCTCTGCTCCCCCTCCTCCTGCCTGCGATTCCCCCTCCTCTGGCCGAGGGGGGAAGCTGTTGCTGGGGGGAGCGGACCTCTGCGCCTTGATGCGCGCGGATGAGGGGGAGAGTGGGCTGGCAAGCGGTGGGGGAAAGGGAGCGGGCGAGAGCAGGGGGGAGCGCAGAGGAGCTCTGGGAAGCTCAGAAGCTAATGTTGAGAAGGGGGGTAAGAGAGGAGGTGCGTCTAAACAAGGTTCTGTGGCAGCTGATGCGGGAAGAGCGGCGAAAAGAGCAACAACAGAGTCAGTAGAGGAGAAAAGGGCTTCGGAAGAGGGTGTTGGTGTGAAGAGGAAGGGAGCTGGTGAGGAGGCGGATGAGAGGGAGCAGACGAAGGGAAGAGCCGGTCGTGGGGATCAAAAGGGGCGTGGAGTGAATGGGAGGCAGAGGGAAGAGGAGGAGGATGATGAGGAGGAGGAGGAGAGAGACAGGGATTCGAAGGGAAGGAAAGCAGTGAAGAAAGGGAGGGAGCAGGCGAAGCAGACAGTCAGGGATGATGGGAAGGGGAGTGGTGATGGTAGTGGTGGGGTTGGGGAAAAGGGAAGGGAGGGCAAGGGGAAGGAGGGGGGGCGTGAGAAAGAGAAGCAAGGCGGGCATATGAACAAGGAGATGATGATTCGAGCAGCAATCAGCTTGGTAAGTTCTGCAATCAGCAGATAGACTCGCATTTTCCACCCTACACTGCAGCACATGCCATCCATCGTATGCATTCGCATGCCACAATGCCACACTACAAGGCATCCTTCCGGTACTCCCAATTTATCATACGTCCCTGCTCGCCCCCACCGTGCGTTGACCTCTCGCCCCCACCATGGCTTGTTGATCTTATCCATGCCCTCAGATGCAAACCAACAAGTTCCCAGAAGCCATCAACCTCTTCAACCAGGTGACCCCACCCCACCCCACCCCACCCCAACCCACCCCGCTCTCTCTCTCGTGAGCCCACCCCACTCACTCTCCACTCCCCACCAGGTCCCTGAGTCGCCTCCACTCTCTTTGTATCGGGGGTCTACCCCTCCTCTTCTCGCATTTCTCTTCATCCCTCTCTCTTTCTGCTGTGGCTGGCTTACTCAACCCCCTCACTGCACTCAACCCCTCGCCTATTCCTCCTTTACGCCGTCCTCCCTTCCCCCTCCCGTACCACATCCCTTTCCACCTTCTTCTGTCTCCCCTCCCACTCGTCCTCCTCTAACCTCCCCTTGAGGCCACTCTGGCCTCAGAAATAGAGGTCGTCCTGTACACACCTTCTCCACCCCACCCCACCCCACCCCACCCCACCCCACTCTGGCCACTCTGGTCGTCCTTTACACACCTTCTCCACCTTTCGTCTTTTCCCTCCTTCCTTCTTCCATCTCCCTCCTCTAACCTCCCCTTATGGCCACTCTGGCCTCAGAAATAGAGGTCATCCTTTACACACCTTCTCCACCTTTCCTGCCTTCCCTCCTTCCTTCTTCCCTCTCCCTCCTCCCTCGTCCCGTCTCTCCCCACAGGTGGAAGCGCAAGGCGGCGAGCTGTATACATTGGGAGGGGCCTCTGCCACCTGTTCTCCAAGCACCTTCCCTTCTCACATGCCTCCCTCCCTTCTCTTTGCTCCCTTGTCCCTTCTCTTTCTCTTCCCAACCACAGGTGGAAGCAGAGGGGGGCGAGCTATCAGATCAGCTGTTCATCGGGAGGGGCCTGTGCCACCTGATGCTCAAGCGGTTGGACGACGCAGAAGAGGACTTTACTGAGGTCAGCTGTGCGGTGGTGGTGGTAGTGATGGCATGATTCATGGGATGGCATGGCATGGCATGGCATGGCATGGCATGGCATGGCATGGCATGGCATGGCGTGGAATAGCATAGCTATGATATGATGTGTGCATGGCAAGGCATAGCAGTACACACCTTTGTGCATATCGTTTCCTTCCGTTCCTCTTCTTCTCCTCACCGTGCCCTTCTCTTTCCTTTCCCCTGGCCCCCCAACCCCATCCCTATCCCCATCCCCATATCTCTGCCGTCCCATCCCCACCGCTCTGCTTCTCTCCACACCACAGGGCATTCAGCGCTTCCCCAGGAGTGCGGAGCTGTACAGGCGGAGGGCCATGCTGCACAAAGAGCGACTCCTAGTGTGACTCTTGAGTCGATTTAAGCCTCACCACTTCCCACCTCTCACCATCCCTCTGTTGTTCCACAGGGCATTCAGCGCTTCCCCAGGAGTGCAGAGCTGTACCGGCGGAGGGCCATGCTGCTCATTGAGAGACTATGAGAGTGACACTTGAGTCAACTCAATATTCACCACTCCCCACCTCTCATCATCACTCGTCACCCCTCACCACAGGGCATTCAGCGCTTTCCCAGGAGTGCAGAGCTGTACAGGCGGAGGGCCATGCTGCTCATAGAGAGGAACGAGCGTGAGGCGGTGCGTGCCCTGTGTGGGGATGTGGGGGGTGGTTTTTGAGCCGATTTAACTTTTGAGTCGACGCAAAGCAGAGCTGTACAGGCGGAGAGCAAAGCTGTCTGTACCGGCGGAGGGCCATGCTGTATATTGAGCAGAACGAGCGTGAGGCAGTGCGTGTGCTTGTGTGGGGATGTGGGAGGTTGAGTGGGTGTGTGAGTTCATGGGTGAGTGAGTGAGTGGGTGGGTGGGTGCATGTGGGAGCACGAGAAGGAGATGAAGCACGCCAAGCAGTCAGGAACGACAGTGGTGCAAATTCAGTGAGGGTAGAAGGCTTGGGGAGAGAAAACGAGCAGTCCAGTCCAGGCAACCTTCTGACTCGTCTCACTCAGTCTATTCATGTGGTGCCTCACACGTTGAGACGACTTTTGAAGCCCCTCAGCAACCCTCATGCCACGATCCCCTCGCCTCTCCTCTCGTGCACCTCTGCCCATCGCTCATCTCATCACGATGTCATGCCACGATGCATGGCAGGCCGTGGAGGATCTGAGCCGGTCACTGGAGATAGAACCCGACAACCAGGACGCGCTGCAACACCGCGGTAGGCTGGCAGCACAGAGGTAACACATGTGTGCTAGTAGAGGAGGTGTGAGTGTGCACCCTTGGTATGGCATGGCATGGCATGTCACACACCCAACGGCAGGCCGTGGAGGATCTGACTCGGTCACTGGAGATAGAACCCGACAACCAGGACGCGCTGCAGCACCGAGGTAGGCTGGCAGCACCAAGGTGAGGCATGTGTGCTGTGCTGGTAGAGGAGGTGCGAGGCTGCACCCTTGGCATGGCATGGCATGGCATGGCATGGCATGGCATGTCACACACCCAACGGCAGGCTGTGGAGGATCTGACTCGGTCCCTGGAGATCGAGCCAGACAACCAGAACACGCTGCAGCACCGCGGTAAGACGTGTGTGGTGTGGAGGGGGGTGTGATGTTGCACTCTCGGTTGGCATGGTATGGCGTGGCGTTGCGTTGCGTGGCACAGCCAGCTCTTTGCCCTTTATCCGTGACGGCATCATCGCCCTTCGCCTGCAACTGTTCAGCTTTGTGACCCTCCCAACCAACACCTTTTCCCTCTCACCCATGCCCCCCCCCCCAGCCAGGGCCATCGCAACCGGCCCCTCCCAACCCACATTGTTTGATCCAAAGCCAGTTCTCATTCCCCCTCTACCCATGCCCCACCGCATGCAGGCATTATCGCCTTCCACATACACCTGTACGGCATGGCCATCGCTGATCTCTCCAGGGCGCTTGACATGCGACCCATGGACGCCTACCTCATCCGCGCCAAGGTACTACGTACCTCTGCTCGTACATTGTCCCTGCATTGACCCTGCGTTGACCTGCATTGACCTGCGGACCTGCGACCCGTGGATGCCTATCTCATCCGCGCCAAGGTACCACCTCCACTCCTGCAATTATCTTCGTTGACCTGCATTGACTTGTTGACCTGTCATGACCCGAGTCATAACGGCCATTGTTGATCTCTGCCAAGGCATCTAAGTCCTGCTCTTGACTTGACCTACTGATCAGCATTGACCCCTCCTCAACTTCAACGCGAGCAGGCATAACCAGGCCAGGCCATACGAGCCACACGAGCGCTGCGTTCAGAGAAACAGTGAGGCGGCACTCAATCCCCGGTCTTTAGACAACCTTTCCCCCTTCCTCTGCTTCCTCCCCTTTCACCACAGGGCATAGACCTGGCAGGGGGAGGGCAGTGGCTCGACGTGGCGCAACACGAGCGCCATGTTTGCGGAGGCAGTGAAACGCCACCCGATGTCCGGTCTTACAGTCACCACCCCCTCTCCCCCACCCCCACCCCCTCCCCCTCCTCTCCCACCTCAGGGCATAGCCCTGGCGGGGGCAGGGCAGTGGCGCAATGCGAGCGCTGTGTTTGCGGAGGCAGTGAAACGCCACCCGATGTCAGCGCACCTGTGGACGGAGAAGGGCCGCGTGCACAAGGAGCTGGGGGAGGTGGATTTGGCCCTTGCTGCCCTGCATAAAGCCCTGGCTCTGGAAGAGTGAGTGGGGATTTGGGTGGGAGGTTGAATGACGGGTTAGGTTGGTAGAAGAGGCAGTGAAACGCCACCCCATGTCAGCGCCACCTGTGGACGGAGAAGGGCCACGTGCACAAGGAACTGGGGGAGGTTGACCTGGCTCTTGCTGCCCTTCTTAAAGCCCTGGCTCTGGAAGAGTGAGTGGAGACTAGGGGATGGGGAGAGGCCGAGATGGGCTGGAACGGGATTGGGGGTTGGGAGAAGAGGCAGTGAAGTGCCACCTGATGTCAGCCCACCTGTGGCAGTGAAGGGATTGGGAGTTGGGGATGCTTGAAGTAGGTCAGGTTTGACGTCAAGTTTGAGATCAGGTTTGACGTCAAGTTTGAGATCAGGTTTGACGTCAAGTTTGAGATCAGGTTTGACGTCAAGTTTGAGGTCAGGTTTGACGTCAAGTTTGAGATCAGGTTTGACGTCAAGTTTGAGATCAGGTTTGACGTCAAGTTTGAGGTCAGGTTTGACGTCAAGTTTGAGATCAGGTTTGACGTCACGTTTGAGATCAGGTTTGGCGTCACGTTCGAGATCAGGTTTGACGTCAAGTTTGAGATCAGGTTTGACGTCAAGTTTGAGATCAGGTTTGACGTCAAGTTTGAGATCAGGTTTGACGTCAAGTTTGAGATCAGGTTTGACGTCAAGTTTGAGATCAGGTTTGACGTCAAGTTTGAGGTCAGGTTTGACGTCAAGTTTGAGATCAGGTTTGACGTCAAGTTTGAGATCAGGTTTGACGTCAAGTTTGAGATCAGGTTTGACGTCAAGTTTGAGATCAGGTTTGACGTCAAGTTTGAGATCAGGTTTGACGTCAAGTTTGAGGTCAGGTTTGACGTCAAGTTTGAGATCAGGTTTGACGTCAAGTTTGAGATCAGGTTTGACGTCAAGTTTGAGGTCAGGTTTGACGTCAAGTTTGAGATCAGGTTTGACGTCACGTTTGAGATCAGGTTTGGCGTCACGTTCGAGATCAGGTTTGACGTCAAGTTTGAGATCAGGTTTGACGTCAAGTTTGAGATCAGGTTTGACGTCAAGTTTGAGATCAGGTTTGACGTCAAGTTTGAGATCAGGTTTGACGTCAAGTTTGAGATCAGGTTTGACGTCAAGTTTGAGGTCAGGTTTGACGTCAAGTTTGAGATCAGGTTTGACGTCAAGTTTGAGATCAGGTTTGACGTCAAGTTTGAGATCAGGTTTGACGTCAAGTTTGAGATCAGGTTTGACGTCAAGTTTGAGATCAGGTTTGACGTCAAGTTTGAGATCAGGTTTGACGTCAAGTTTGAGGTCAGGTTTGACGTCAAGTTTGAGATCAGGTTTGACGTCAAGTTTGAGATCAGGTTTGACGTCAAGTTTGAGATCAGGTTTGACGTCAAGTTTGAGATCAGGTTTGACGTCAAGTTTGAGATCAGGTTTGACGTCAAGTTTGAGATCAGGTTTGACGTCAAGTTTGAGATCAGGTTTGACGTCAAGTTTGAGATCAGGTTTGACGTCAAGTTTGAGATCAGGTTTGACGTCAAGTTTGAGATCAGGTTTGACGTCAAGTTTGAGATCAGGTTTGACGTCAAGTTTGAGATCAGGTTTGACGTCAAGTTTGAGATCAGGTTTGACGTCAAGTTTGAGATCAGGTTTGACGTCAAGTTTGAGGTCAGGTTTGACGTCAAGTTTGAGATCAGGTTTGACGTCAAGTTTGAGATCAGGTTTGACGTCAAGTTTGAGATCAGGTTTGACGTCAAGTTTGAGATCAGGTTTGACGTCAAGTTTGAGATCAGGTTTGACGTCAAGTTTGAGGTCAGGTTTGACGTCAAGTTTGAGATCAGGTTTGACGTCAAGTTTGAGATCAGGTTTGACGTCAAGTTTGAGGTCAGGTTTGACGTCAAGTTTGAGATCAGGTTTGACGTCACGTTTGAGATCAGGTTTGGCGTCACGTTCGAGATCAGGTTTGACGTCAAGTTTGAGATCAGGTTTGACGTCAAGTTTGAGATCAGGTTTGACGTCAAGTTTGAGATCAGGTTTGACGTCAAGTTTGAGATCAGGTTTGACGTCAAGTTTGAGATCAGGTTTGACGTCAAGTTTGAGGTCAGGTTTGACGTCAAGTTTGAGATCAGGTTTGACGTCAAGTTTGAGATCAGGTTTGACGTCAAGTTTGAGATCAGGTTTGACGTCAAGTTTGAGATCAGGTTTGACGTCAAGTTTGAGATCAGGTTTGACGTCAAGTTTGAGATCAGGTTTGACGTCAAGTTTGAGGTCAGGTTTGACGTCAAGTTTGAGATCAGGTTTGACGTCAAGTTTGAGATCAGGTTTGACGTCAAGTTTGAGATCAGGTTTGACGTCAAGTTTGAGATCAGGTTTGACGTCAAGTTTGAGATCAGGTTTGACGTCAAGTTTGAGATCAGGTTTGACGTCAAGTTTGAGATCAGGTTTGACGTCAAGTTTGAGATCAGGTTTGACGTCAAGTTTGAGATCAGGTTTGACGTCAAGTTTGAGATCAGGTTTGACGTCAAGTTTGAGATCAGGTTTGACGTCAAGTTTGAGATCAGGTTTGACGTCAAGTTTGAGATCAGGTTTGACGTCAAGTTTGAGATCAGGTTTGACGTCAAGTTTGAGATCAGGTTTGACGTCAAGTTTGAGATCAGGTTTGACGTCAAGTTTGACGTCAAGTTTGGGATGGGAGGGAGACGCCACCCTATGTCGGCCCACCTGTGGACGGAGAAGGGACGCGTGCACAAGGAGCCGGGCTGCCGGAGGAGGTTGATTGGGCTCTTGCTGCCCTGCATAAGGCACTGGCGCTGGAAGAGTGAGTGGGGGGTTGGGAGAGCAGAGGCTGAAGCTAGGGAGGAGGGTTGTTCTGTTGGGACGAAACTGAACTCAGTGACTTACCCTTTCATGCTCTCATAACATCCTGCCTGAAAAGCAGGATGGGTGGGGGACGTCCTGCCTGTGCCGCCTGAGTTCGCCACCTGCTCCACCCACACCTTCCCTGTGACTTTTGAGTCGACTCAAAAGTCACATCTTGCCTGTGCCGCCTGAGTTCGCCACCTGCTCCACCCACACCTTCCCCGTTCTTCCCCATGCTCTCCCAATGTGCCCCGCATGCTCCCCGCATGCTCCCCCAATGTGCCCCGCATGCTCCCCCAATGTGCCCCGCATGCTCCCCGCATGCGTCCCCCACGCTCCCCCCATGCTCCCCTCCCCCCATCCTCCCCCCAACCTCCCCCCAGCACTCTGGAGGCGTACATCCGCCTCACGTCCCTCATGCAGCTCGTGGGCCGCCACAGGTGAGTGCAAGGGGGCTATGGTGAGCATGAGTGGAAGGGTGTCTGTGAGGGGAGTTATTGTGAGTTATTGTGAGTGACTTGCAGCACTCTGGAGGCGTGCATCCGCCTCACGTCCCTCATGCAGCTCGTGGGCCGCCACAGGTGAGAGTGAGGTTTGAATGGAGCTCGTGTTGAGTCTTAACCAGCTCAAGCCGCATGGATTCTGTGCGTGCAAGCCTTTGAAGCTGCGCATGGGGTCTGTGAGAGGCGTTCATCCGCCTCACGTCCCTCATGCAGCTCATGGGCCGCCACAGGTGAGGCTGAGGGGAGCCCTTGGTGAGTCTAACTGACTTGGCTCGAATGACCTGGGTTTTGTAATTGCTTGCCTGCTCGGCCTCAACTACTCTCCATCAAGTTCCTGCCATCAACTCCTGCTGACTCTCCTTTACTCCTGTACTGTTGACTTTTGTTGAACTCCACTTTACTGTTCTTGCTTTACTATGGCTTCTCTTCATTTCCTCTTACTACCTGTGCTCCCCTTCACTCCTGTTGACCGTGGTTGACCCAGGGAGGTGGTATCCACAGCGAGGAGGGGCTTGAAGCTGAATCCCAACGACATAGAGCTCAACTACCTGGAAGCTTCCGCGCACCATGCACTGGGTGACTTCGAGGCAGCAGTGAGTGAAGATTTTCACCCATGCCCTCTCACAAGTCTCAATCTGCTGCATGCCCTCTCACAAGTCTCAATCTGCTGCATGCCCTCTCACAAGTCTCAATCTGCTGCATGCCCTCTCACAAGTCTCAATCTGCTGCATGCCCTCTCACAAGTCTCAATCTGCTGCATGCCCTCTCACAAGTCTCAATCTGCTGCATGCCCTCTCACAAGTCTCAATCTGCTGCATGCCCTCTCACAAGTCTCAATCTGCTGCATGCCCTCTCACAAGTCTCAATCTGCTGCATGCCCTCTCACAAGTCTCAATCTGCTGCATGCCCTCTCACAAGTCTCAATCTGCTGCATGCCCTCTCACAAGTCTCAATCTGCTGCATGCCCTCTCACAAGTCTCAATCTGCTGCATGCCCTCTCACAAGTCTCAATCTGCTGCATGCCCTCTCACAAGTCTCAATCTGCTGCATGCCCTCTCACAAGTCTCAATCTGCTGCATGCCCTCTCACAAGTCTCAATCTGCTGCATGCCCTCTCACAAGTCTCAATCTGCTGCATGCCCTCTCACAAGTCTCAATCTGCTGCATGCCCTCTCACAAGTCTCAATCTGCTGCATGCCCTCTCACAAGTCTCAATCTGCTGCATGCCCTCTCACAAGTCTCAATCTGCTGCATGCCCTCTCACAAGTCTCAATCTGCTGCATGCCCTCTCACAAGTCTCAATCTGCTGCATGCCCTCTCACAAGTCTCAATCTGCTGCATGCCCTCTCACAAGTCTCAATCTGCTGCATGCCCTCTCACAAGTCTCAATCTGCTGCATGCCCTCTCACAAGTCTCAATCTGCTGCATGCCCTCTCACAAGTCTCAATCTGCTGCATGCCCTCTCACAAGTCTCAATCTGCTGCATGCCCTCTCACAAGTCTCAATCTGCTGCATGCCCTCTCACAAGTCTCAATCTGCTGCATGCCCTCTCACAAGTCTCAATCTGCTGCATGCCCTCTCACAAGTCTCAATCTGCTGCATGCCCTCTCACAAGTCTCAATCTGCTGCATGCCCTCTCACAAGTCTCAATCTGCTGCATGCCCTCTCACAAGTCTCAATCTGCTGCATGCCCTCTCACAAGTCTCAATCTGCTGCATGCCCTCTCACAAGTCTCAATCTGCTGCATGCCCTCTCACAAGTCTCAATCTGCTGCATGCCCTCTCACAAGTCTCAATCTGCTGCATGCCCTCTCACAAGTCTCAATCTGCTGCATGCCCTCTCACAAGTCTCAATCTGCTGCATGCCCTCTCACAAGTCTCAATCTGCTGCATGCCCTCTCACAAGTCTCAATCTGCTGCATGCCCTCTCACAAGTCTCAATCTGCTGCATGCCCTCTCACAAGTCTCAATCTGCTGCATGCCCTCTCACAAGTCTCAATCTGCTGCATGCCCTCTCACAAGTCTCAATCTGCTGCATGCCCTCTCACAAGTCTCAATCTGCTGCATGCCCTCTCACAAGTCTCAATCTGCTGCATGCCCTCTCACAAGTCTCAATCTGCTGCATGCCCTCTCACAAGTCTCAATCTGCTGCATGCCCTCTCACAAGTCTCAATCTGCTGCATGCCCTCTCACAAGTCTCAATCTGCTGCATGCCCTCTCACAAGTCTCAATCTGCTGCATGCCCTCTCACAAGTCTCAATCTGCTGCATGCCCTCTCACAAGTCTCAATCTGCTGCATGCCCTCTCACAAGTCTCAATCTGCTGCATGCCCTCTCACAAGTCTCAATCTGCTGCATGCCCTCTCACAAGTCTCAATCTGCTGCATGCCCTCTCACAAGTCTCAATCTGCTGCATGCCCTCTCACAAGTCTCAATCTGCTGCATGCCCTCTCACAAGTCTCAATCTGCTGCATGCCCTCTCACAAGTCTCAATCTGCTGCATGCCCTCTCACAAGTCTCAATCTGCTGCATGCCCTCTCACAAGTCTCAATCTGCTGCATGCCCTCTCACAAGTCTCAATCTGCTGCATGCCCTCTCACAAGTCTCAATCTGCTGCATGCCCTCTCACAAGTCTCAATCTGCTGCATGCCCTCTCACAAGTCTCAATCTGCTGCATGCCCTCTCACAAGTCTCAATCTGCTGCATGCCCTCTCACAAGTCTCAATCTGCTGCATGCCCTCTCACAAGTCTCAATCTGCTGCATGCCCTCTCACAAGTCTCAATCTGCTGCATGCCCTCTCACAAGTCTCAATCTGCTGCATGCCCTCTCACAAGTCTCAATCTGCTGCATGCCCTCTCACAAGTCTCAATCTGCTGCATGCCCTCTCACAAGTCTCAATCTGCTGCATGCCCTCTCACAAGTCTCAATCTGCTGCATGCCCTCTCACAAGTCTCAATCTGCTGCATGCCCTCTCACAAGTCTCAATCTGCTGCATGCCCTCTCACAAGTCTCAATCTGCTGCATGCCCTCTCACAAGTCTCAATCTGCTGCATGCCCTCTCACAAGTCTCAATCTGCTGCATGCCCTCTCACAAGTCTCAATCTGCTGCATGCCCTCTCACAAGTCTCAATCTGCTGCATGCCCTCTCACAAGTCTCAATCTGCTGCATGCCCTCTCACAAGTCTCAATCTGCTGCATGCCCTCTCACAAGTCTCAATCTGCTGCATGCCCTCTCACAAGTCTCAATCTGCTGCATGCCCTCTCACAAGTCTCAATCTGCTGCATGCCCTCTCACAAGTCTCAATCTGCTGCATGCCCTCTCACAAGTCTCAATCTGCTGCATGCCCTCTCACAAGTCTCAATCTGCTGCATGCCCTCTCACAAGTCTCAATCTGCTGCATGCCCTCTCACAAGTCTCAATCTGCTGCATGCCCTCTCACAAGTCTCAATCTGCTGCATGCCCTCTCACAAGTCTCAATCTGCTGCATGCCCTCTCACAAGTCTCAATCTGCTGCATGCCCTCTCACAAGTCTCAATCTGCTGCATGCCCTCTCACAAGTCTCAATCTGCTGCATGCCCTCTCACAAGTCTCAATCTGCTGCATGCCCTCTCACAAGTCTCAATCTGCTGCATGCCCTCTCACAAGTCTCAATCTGCTGCATGCCCTCTCACAAGTCTCAATCTGCTGCATGCCCTCTCACAAGTCTCAATCTGCTGCATGCCCTCTCACAAGTCTCAATCTGCTGCATGCCCTCTCACAAGTCTCAATCTGCTGCATGCCCTCTCACAAGTCTCAATCTGCTGCATGCCCTCTCACAAGTCTCAATCTGCTGCATGCCCTCTCACAAGTCTCAATCTGCTGCATGCCCTCTCACAAGTCTCAATCTGCTGCATGCCCTCTCACAAGTCTCAATCTGCTGCATGCCCTCTCACAAGTCTCAATCTGCTGCATGCCCTCTCACAAGTCTCAATCTGCTGCATGCCCTCTCACAAGTCTCAATCTGCTGCATGCCCTCTCACAAGTCTCAATCTGCTGCATGCCCTCTCACAAGTCTCAATCTGCTGCATGCCCTCTCACAAGTCTCAATCTGCTGCATGCCCTCTCACAAGTCTCAATCTGCTGCATGCCCTCTCACAAGTCTCAATCTGCTGCATGCCCTCTCACAAGTCTCAATCTGCTGCATGCCCTCTCACAAGTCTCAATCTGCTGCATGCCCTCTCACAAGTCTCAATCTGCTGCATGCCCTCTCACAAGTCTCAATCTGCTGCATGCCCTCTCACAAGTCTCAATCTGCTGCATGCCCTCTCACAAGTCTCAATCTGCTGCATGCCCTCTCACAAGTCTCAATCTGCTGCATGCCCTCTCACAAGTCTCAATCTGCTGCATGCCCTCTCACAAGTCTCAATCTGCTGCATGCCCTCTCACAAGTCTCAATCTGCTGCATGCCCTCTCACAAGTCTCAATCTGCTGCATGCCCTCTCACAAGTCTCAATCTGCTGCATGCCCTCTCACAAGTCTCAATCTGCTGCATGCCCTCTCACAAGTCTCAATCTGCTGCATGCCCTCTCACAAGTCTCAATCTGCTGCATGCCCTCTCACAAGTCTCAATCTGCTGCATGCCCTCTCACAAGTCTCAATCTGCTGCATGCCCTCTCACAAGTCTCAATCTGCTGCATGCCCTCTCACAAGTCTCAATCTGCTGCATGCCCTCTCACAAGTCTCAATCTGCTGCATGCCCTCTCACAAGTCTCAATCTGCTGCATGCCCTCTCACAAGTCTCAATCTGCTGCATGCCCTCTCACAAGTCTCAATCTGCTGCATGCCCTCTCACAAGTCTCAATCTGCTGCATGCCCTCTCACAAGTCTCAATCTGCTGCATGCCCTCTCACAAGTCTCAATCTGCTGCATGCCCTCTCACAAGTCTCAATCTGCTGCATGCCCTCTCACAAGTCTCAATCTGCTGCATGCCCTCTCACAAGTCTCAATCTGCTGCATGCCCTCTCACAAGTCTCAATCTGCTGCATGCCCTCTCACAAGTCTCAATCTGCTGCATGCCCTCTCACAAGTCTCAATCTGCTGCATGCCCTCTCACAAGTCTCAATCTGCTGCATGCCCTCTCACAAGTCTCAATCTGCTGCATGCCCTCTCACAAGTCTCAATCTGCTGCATGCCCTCTCACAAGTCTCAATCTGCTGCATGCCCTCTCACAAGTCTCAATCTGCTGCATGCCCTCTCACAAGTCTCAATCTGCTGCATGCCCTCTCACAAGTCTCAATCTGCTGCATGCCCTCTCACAAGTCTCAATCTGCTGCATGCCCTCTCACAAGTCTCAATCTGCTGCATGCCCTCTCACAAGTCTCAATCTGCTGCATGCCCTCTCACAAGTCTCAATCTGCTGCATGCCCTCTCACAAGTCTCAATCTGCTGCATGCCCTCTCACAAGTCTCAATCTGCTGCATGCCCTCTCACAAGTCTCAATCTGCTGCATGCCCTCTCACAAGTCTCAATCTGCTGCATGCCCTCTCACAAGTCTCAATCTGCTGCATGCCCTCTCACAAGTCTCAATCTGCTGCATGCCCTCTCACAAGTCTCAATCTGCTGCATGCCCTCTCACAAGTCTCAATCTGCTGCATGCCCTCTCACAAGTCTCAATCTGCTGCATGCCCTCTCACAAGTCTCAATCTGCTGCATGCCCTCTCACAAGTCTCAATCTGCTGCATGCCCTCTCACAAGTCTCAATCTGCTGCATGCCCTCTCACAAGTCTCAATCTGCTGCATGCCCTCTCACAAGTCTCAATCTGCTGCATGCCCTCTCACAAGTCTCAATCTGCTGCATGCCCTCTCACAAGTCTCAATCTGCTGCATGCCCTCTCACAAGTCTCAATCTGCTGCATGCCCTCTCACAAGTCTCAATCTGCTGCATGCCCTCTCACAAGTCTCAATCTGCTGCATGCCCTCTCACAAGTCTCAATCTGCTGCATGCCCTCTCACAAGTCTCAATCTGCTGCATGCCCTCTCACAAGTCTCAATCTGCTGCATGCCCTCTCACAAGTCTCAATCTGCTGCATGCCCTCTCACAAGTCTCAATCTGCTGCATGCCCTCTCACAAGTCTCAATCTGCTGCATGCCCTCTCACAAGTCTCAATCTGCTGCATGCCCTCTCACAAGTCTCAATCTGCTGCATGCCCTCTCACAAGTCTCAATCTGCTGCATGCCCTCTCACAAGTCTCAATCTGCTGCATGCCCTCTCACAAGTCTCAATCTGCTGCATGCCCTCTCACAAGTCTCAATCTGCTGCATGCCCTCTCACAAGTCTCAATCTGCTGCATGCCCTCTCACAAGTCTCAATCTGCTGCATGCCCTCTCACAAGTCTCAATCTGCTGCATGCCCTCTCACAAGTCTCAATCTGCTGCATGCCCTCTCACAAGTCTCAATCTGCTGCATGCCCTCTCACAAGTCTCAATCTGCTGCATGCCCTCTCACAAGTCTCAATCTGCTGCATGCCCTCTCACAAGTCTCAATCTGCTGCATGCCCTCTCACAAGTCTCAATCTGCTGCATGCCCTCTCACAAGTCTCAATCTGCTGCATGCCCTCTCACAAGTCTCAATCTGCTGCATGCCCTCTCACAAGTCTCAATCTGCTGCATGCCCTCTCACAAGTCTCAATCTGCTGCATGCCCTCTCACAAGTCTCAATCTGCTGCATGCCCTCTCACAAGTCTCAATCTGCTGCATGCCCTCTCACAAGTCTCAATCTGCTGCATGCCCTCTCACTCAGTGTGCCCTCTCACTTGCTTCTTGTATAATCTCTGTCCATAAGCCCTCCCAGTTGCGTAGTTCTTGTGCTATGCCAATCCAAGCAGGGTTGTTGGTCTATGCGTGAACATTTAGAAAACGTGGGTCTATATCCCTCTCTTTTGTTTCACTGTATCAATTGTATTCTCTCCACCATCCCTCCTCCCTCCACCACCCCTCCCTGACCCCTATACATCCACAGCTGCATCAGTATACCCACATCCTCGGTCTCTCGCCCACAGACAGCCACACCTCCACCCTTCAGGGCATGGCATTTTACCAGGTGTGCTGAGCGGTTTTGTGCAGTGTTGGGTGCTGCTGTGCTGTTCCGAGTGGTGCTGTGCAGTGCTGTGTGGTGCTGTCGGTCAGCCAACCGACATGAAGCTGGGCCTCCCTTAGCCCTCGCCCTCACACACCTACCCCTCTTCCTCTCCCTCTTTCCACTTCCCTTGCTGTCGTGGTATTCTGCCACAACCCTTTCTAGGCTAACCTGTAGCAAAGCTGGAGCTTGTTGGTAAACCTATTCCTCTCTCCTCCCCTCCCCCTCCCATCGCATCCACTCACCATCAGAGGGAGATAGCAGCGTACACGGTATCCAAGCTGGACCCTTTTTAACGGTTCTCCTCGTCTCCCCCTCCCCCTCCCCCTCCCATCGCATCCACTCACCATCAGAGGGAGATAGCAGCGTACACAGTATCCAAGCTGGACCTACCGTTTGCACAGTTTCGCCTCGACTATGAACTGAACAATGAACTCAAGGTGCGCCCCGTTCCTGTAGTTATGTAGCAAGTCGACTCACAAGGCACCTTGTCACAGTGCAAAGTTGGACCTGCCATTCGCACAGTTCCGCCTGGACTACGAGCTCAACAACGAACTCAAGGTGCGCCCCACAGTTTCTCCTTGTTATTTCTATATTGAGTCGACTCACAAGGCAAGGCACCTTGTCAATGTGCACAGCTGGACCTACCATTCGCACAGTTCCGTCTCGACTACGAGCTGAACAACGAACTCAAGGTGTGCCTCCATGCGCACATGTAGTTTATATGAGTCGACTCACAAGGCACCTCGCCACACTGCACAGCACAGCCTGACCTACCGTTTGCACAGTTCCGCCTCGACTACGAGCTGAACAACCAACTCATGGTGTGCCCCTCCTGCTCACCCATAGCATGAAGGAGCGTTGTTACTCACTCACACAAATACACACATACACGCACATACACACCGGGAAGCAGGAATTAGTCTCCGCCTCCATCCTCCCCGCCTACCGCCCGCTCCCCATCCGCCTCCACCGCAAACCCCCCCGCATCTCCCCCTTGCACCCTCAAATGTCGACGTTGTGACTTTTGAGTCGACTCAAAAGACTGACTCGCCTGCTTCAAGTCCAGAGCCGCCTGCTGGTGCTGCTTCAACATGGAGCACGCTACTTTTGAGTCGACTCAAAAGTCAGCTCCACCGCAGTCCCCCCCGCATCTCCCCCTTGCACCCTCAAATGTTGACGTTGATTGCCTTGCCTGGCGCTCGCATTTCAAATTCCCTCCCACTTTTCTTTCCCCTGCACTCTCCCTTCCCCATACCAGGAAGCATGGGTGCGAAAGCAGTCGCCCCTCTCCATCCTCCCCGCCTACCGCCCCCTCCCCATCCGCCTGGTTCGCAACCCCCCCCGCATCCGCTTCTCCCCCCAAGTGCGCGCTCTCATCGCCAAGGAGGACGAGATCAGGCGGTGCACGCAGTACTTTTGAGAATTCTCAAAAACACTCTGCACGCAGTACTTTGAGCCCCTTCTCAAACCAGTTCTTCCCTTCCCCTGTGCTCCCCATTCCCCATACCAGGAAGCATGGGTGCGAAAGCAGTCGCCCCTCTCCATCCTCCCCGCCTACCGCCCCCTCCCCATCCGCCTGGTGCGCAACCCCCCTCGCATCCGCTTCTCCCCCCAAGTGCGCGCTCTCATCGCCAAGGCGGACGAGATAGGGCGGCGCACGCAGTACTTTGTGGACGGCTTCATGCCGCACAAGAGACAACACCGCATGGCGGGGCTTGCCGCACTGGATCTCATGCAGAGGGTGAATGCCACGTGGCAGCATATGATTGAGGAACGGAAGGGGAAGGATGGGGACGGGGAGGGGGAGGGTGAAGGGCTAGGGGAGGATGAAGCAGGGGAAGCAGGGGAGAGGAGGAGAGCTGATGGCAGTAGGGTTGATGATCGTAATGGTGATACAGAGGTTAGTGATAGTGAGACTAGCGAAGGGAGCAGTAGAGGAAGGAGCAGCACGGGCAGTAGGGCAGGTGGGAGAGGGGCACAGAGAGGGTCCCGACGGAAAACACCCCGAGTGTCCCTCAAATCCTCCGCAGCAGCAGGAAGGAGATCCAACGGCCGAGATAAGCCCTCCAGCTCATCCGGCCGATCCAACGGTGCAAAGCTGATCTCCGAGTGGAGAGACATGTTCGATGGGATCATACGGTGGAGGCAGCACGCCGAACCCTGCGATACAATCACATGGATTGACCAGCTCAAAAACGAGTACCCCAAGGGCTTCGGTACAATCACAGCCATGCGGGTGGGGCAAATGCACAACCTAAAATACTACCCGTTTCAGGACTGGGCGTTTGAAGTCATGAGATCTGTGCTGCTGGAGACAGAAATGGCGTCGAATGCAACCAACTGGCCGCTGCCGGTGCCGCGGCGGGTGCACGGAAAGGCGATAGAGGCGGCGGGGGATTTCGGGGATTTACACCGTGTGGTTGGGGAGAATTTCTACGTTACCACTCAATGTTACAGCGAGGCGTTTCCCGGGCGAATCATGAACGGCACCCAGCTGACCCTGGTGGAGGCCTCAGGTAATGCCCCCCCTTCCCCTCCGTTGCTGCGGTGACCGCACCCCCCTGCCTGCCGCTATTTGGGGTGCCTCAACAATAATGAACGGCACCCAGCTGACCCTGGTGGAGGCCTCAGGTACTGTGCCTCAGGAGAGGAGGTGCGTCAACCTGCACCTTGAGGAGGTGCTCCTTGGGGGATGGAGGAGGTGCGTCAGCCACTCCGCTAGCTTGCGCGAGTTTAGGGTTTAGGGTTGAATATCTGATGGCCCACGTGGGGGACAAGGAACGGGGGAACGTGATCCTGAGCTCGGCTCCTGTATCCCACGATTTCCCACTATATACCGGCTCATGGGTACCATACATGGCTCATGGGTACCCATACATGGCTCATGGGTACCCATACATGGCTCATGGGTACCCATACATGGCTCATGAGTACCATACATGGCTCATGGGTACCATACATGGCTCATGGGTACCCATACATGCTCATGGGTACCCATTTTTGGCTTATGGGCACCCATACATGCCTCGTGGGTACCCATACATGTCTCATGGGTACCCATACATGGGTACCCATACATGGCTCATGGGTACCCATACATGGCTCATGGGTACCATACATGGCTCATGGGTACCTATCCATGGCTCATGGGTACCCATACATGGCTCATGGGTACCCATACATGGCTCATGGGTACCTATACATGGCTCATGGGTACCCATACATGGCTCATGGGTACCCATACATGGCTCATGGGCACCCATACATGGCTCATGGGTACCATGCATGGCTCATGGGTACCCATACATGGATCATAGGTACCTATACATGGCCCATGGGTACCCATACATGGCTCGTGGGTACCCATACATAGATCATGGGTACCCATACATGGCTCATGGGTACCCATACATGGCTCATGGGTACCCATACATAGCTCATGGGTACCATACATGGCTCATGGGTACCCATACATGGCTCGTGGGTACCCATACATGTCTCATGGGTACCCATACATGGGTACCCATACATGGCTCATGGGTACCCATACATGGCTCATGGGTACCATACATGGCTCATGGGTACCCATACATGGCTCATGGGTACCCATACATGGCTCATGGGTACCCATCCATGGCTGATGGGTACCCATACATGGCTCATGGGTACCCATAAATGGCTCATGAGTACCATACATGGCTCATGGGTACCATACATGGCTCATGGGTACCCATACATGCTCATGGGTACCCATTTTTGGCTCATGGGTACCCATACATGGCTCATGGGTACCCATACATGGCTCGTGTGTACCCATACATGTCTCATGGGTACCCATACATGGGTACCCATACATGGCTCATGGGTACCCATACTTGGCTCATGGGTACCATACATGGCTCATTGGTACCCATACATGGCTCATGGGTACCCATACATGGCTCATGGGTACCCATACATGGCTCATGGGTACCCATACATGGCTCATGGGTACCTATACATGGCTCATGGGTACCCATACATGGCTCATGGGTACCCATACATGGCTCATGGGCACCCATACATGGCTCATGGGTACCATGCATGGCTCATGGGTACCCATACATGGATCATAGGTACCTATACATGGCCCATGGGTACCCATACATGGCTCGTGGGTACCCATACATAGATCATGGGTACCCATACATGGCTCATGGGTACCCATACATGGCTCATGGGTACCCATACATAGCTCATGGGTACCATACATGGCTCATGGGTACCCATACATGGCTTGTGGGTACCCATACATGTCTCATGGGTACCCATACATGGGTACCCATACATGTCTCATGGGTACCCATACATGGGTACCCATACATGGCTCATGGGTACCCATACATGGCTCATGGGTACCATACATGGCTCATGGGTACCCATACATGGCTCATGGGTACCCATACATAGCTCATGGGTACCATACATGGCTCATGGGTACCCATACATGGCTCGTGGGTACCCATACATGTCTCATGGGTACCCATACATGGGTACCCATACATGGCTCATGGGTACCCATACATGGCTCATGGGTACCATACATGGCTCATGGGTACCCCATACATGGCTCATGGGTACCCATACATGGCTCATGGGTACCCATCCATGGCTGATGGGTACCCATACATGGCTCATGGGTACCCATACATGGCTCATGAGTACCATACATGGCTCATGGGTACCATACATGGCTCATGGGTACCCATACATGCTCATGGGTACCCATTTTTGGCTCATGGGTACCCATACATGGCTCATGGGTACCCATACATGGCTCGTGTGTACCCATACATGTCTCATGGGTACCCATACATGGGTACCCATACATGGCTCATGGGTACCCATACTTGGCTCATGGGTACCATACATGGCTCATTGGTTCCCATACATGGCTCATGGGTACCCATACATGGCTCATGGGTACCCATACATGTCTCATGGGTACCCACACATGGCTCATGGGTACCATACATGGCTCATGGGTACCCATCCATGGCTCATGGGTACCCATACATGGCTCATGGGTACACATACATGGCTCATGAGTACCATACATGGCTCATGGGTACCATACATGGCTCATGGGTACCCATACATGGCTCATGGGTACCCATACATGGCTCATGGGTACCCATACATGGCTCATGGGTACCATACATGGCTCATGGGTACCCATCCATGGCTGATGGGTACCCATACATGGCTCATGGGTACCCATACATGCTCATGAGTACCATACATGGCTCATGGGTACCATACATGGCTCATGGGTACCCAAACAAGCTCATGGGTACCCATTTTTGGCTCATGGGTACCCATACATGGCTCATGGGTACCCATACATGGCTCGTGGGTACCCATACATGGCTCGTGGGTACCCATACATGTCTCATGGGTACCCATACATGGGTACCCATACATGGCTCATGGGTACCCATACTTGGCTCATGGGTACCATACATGGCTCATTGGTACCCATGCATGGCTCATGGGTACCCATACATGCCTCATGTGTACCCATACATGCCTCATGGGTACCCATACATGGCTCATGGGTACCATACATGGCTCATGGGTACGCATACATGGCTCATGGGTACCCATACATGGCTCATGGGTACCCATACATGGCTCATGGGTACCCATACATGCCTCATACATGGCTCATGGGTACCATACATGGCTCATGGGTACCCATACATGGCTCATACATGGCTCATGGGTACCATACATGGCTCATGAGTACCCATACATGGCTCATGGGTACCATACATGGCTCATGGGTACCCATCCATGACTCATGGGTAGCCGTACATGGCTCATGGGTACCCATACATGGCTCATGGGTACCCATACATGGCTCATGGTACCCATACATGGCTCATGGGTACCCATACATGGCTCATGGGTACCATACATGGCTCATGGGTACCATACATGGCTCATGGGTACCATACATGGCTCATGGGTACCCATACATGGCTCATGGGTACCATACATGGCTCATGGGCACCCATACATGGCTCATGGGTACCATACATGGCTCATGGGTACCCATACATGGCTCATGGGTACCCATACATTGCTCATGGGTACCCATACATTGCTCATGGGTACCATACATGGCTCATGGGTACCCATACATGGCTCATGGGTACCCATACATGCCTCATGGGTACCCTACATGGCTCATGGGTACCCATACATGGCTCATGGGTACCCATCCATGACTCATGGGTACCATACATGGCTCATGGGTACCCATCCATGACTCATGGGTACCCATACACGGCTCATGGGTACCCATACATGGCTCATGGGTACGCATACATGGCTCATGGGTACCCATACATGGCTCATGGGTACCCATACATGGCTCATGGGTACCCATACATGGCTCATGGGTACCCATACATGGCTCACTTCAGAATGAGGCAGGCCAAATCCTCTTTCCAGTCACACTGCATTCCCAATCCTCGTTTCTTTCCATGATCCCACACTTTCAAATGGCTACACTTTTCCTCCACCCCCTCTGTTTGCTCCTTCCGTCTCCCCTTATCCCTCCTTTCCCCATCCCAGGTTCCTATGACTTCACAATTCGCACGGCAGTCACGCCCGAGCGCAGTGCCGAGTTCTTTCAGGAGCTGCAGAAGACATGGGAGGAGCTCAGTGAGGCAGCCACCCACCGGCACCTATACTGACACACACCTGCATCACTACCCCCTGTGTTTCCCTTACCCCCCACTCCCCTCCCAGGCTCCTACGACTTCACCATTCGTACAGCCGTGACGCCCGAGCGCAGTGCCGAGTTCTTTCAGGAGCTTCAGAGGACATGGGAGGAGCTCAGTGAAGCAGCCACCGACACGCACCTGCGGGCCACTGACTTTCACCTGTACCGGCGGCGAGTGAGGGAGGGCGTGCTGCGGATGGGGTACTACTGGTATCAGTTCATGCCTCTCACCCGCGGGTCAGCGATGGTGGGCATTATCTCCATCCTCGGCCTCTCCCTGGCTGCTGACATGGAAACTCTCTCACTCATCCCAAAAGATGTTCAGGTGAGCGCTGGGTTGGGCTGGAGTGGGAGTGTTGGCCGTGAGTGTTTGCCCATGCTCTGCTGTCCCCGCTCCCTCCGCTCTCCCTCACTGCTGACATGGAAACGCTCTCACTTATCTCCCACGGAGTGTTAGCAGAATGCAGTAAGGACGAGCGAACACATTGCAACCTTTTTTTTCCGGTTTCTCATACTCATGTCGCCCTACCCTATCTTCATCTCATCACTCAGGTGGACTGGGAGGCGATCCTAAATCCGCGTTTTAAGCAGTTCAACGACTCGGTATCGCCCTGGTTCTACAGCAAGGTTGCGCCCGCGCCCTGGCACTTGCCACGTGTCAGCGAGGCATTGCCCACCACGCGCCACGTCATCGCAGCGCTTAGTTACGACCTGGAATCTGACGACTATGACGATGATAAAGCTGGCAACGATGATGGTGATGACCGAGACGGTGATGATTATGACGATTGAGAGGGTATTGTTGAGATTCAAATGGATTATAATAAAACACTAATGACTGGTTTGACATGTAGATTTCTATTTTGAAAGCAGATTGTTGAGCAACATTCTATGTATGTTCCTGGCTGTTCTCGCGGTTTTTCGTATCGAGGATCCATTCGCGACCGTGCCAATTGATTTGTTGGCCTGATTTGTCTCTCGAGAGATAGAAATCGCGCTACTCAATCGCCCCACGCGCTGCTATGCTTTGCGCTCGAGTCGTTCCCCCGCGGGAGTTTCTGCACCCGAAGGTTCCGCCGATTGCGCGGGGGAATCGCGGAAGGAATACTCCCCTCGCCGTTACCTTCCCAGCCAAAACTCTCGCAAAACTCTCGTGCAGGGACGGTGCGCCGCGGTCGTCCGCAATGTATTGCCTTAGAGCCAGGGTCCCATGCGCCGCGCAGCCGCACTCCGTTGCGCTACTAGCTCCCCGCGCGGCGCAATCGTGCAGCTCGCGGCATTTTCTTATGCCCGTCTGTCCCACGGTAGCGCGCAGTTCCCGTGCAGTTTTACTTCTTCCCCGCGCTATAAACCACGTGGATTCCCCTTGCGCGGATTCAGGCGCTCGTTTCCCGCGCGCAGCGTTGCGCGCCAAGCGGTATATCGAGTTTGATTCGGTTAGATTGCATGCCTCGCGGGGGCTGTGGCCGCTGACGTGGCAGCAGCAGCGTCAACGACAGCAGCAGGAGAGGCGAGGGGTTCAGGGCATTAGAGGGGGCAGGGAGGCGCGGCGGGGGTTAAGGGTTTATGCAGGGGCGAATTCCGGGGAGGAAAGATGGAGCCTGAAACGGGCGGGAAGCGGGCTTGAACGGAGTGATATTAGCGAGAGTGATTCAAATGGCATTGATGACAGGGGTGATTCTAAAGGGGGCGAGTTGGAGGGTGAGGGAAGAAGAGAGGAGGAGAGAAGGGAAGGAGTGAAGGGGGGAAGAGGAGAGGTGGAGGCAGAGGGAGAAAAGGTGGGGCAGGGTCAAGTGAAGAAGCCACTTCACGTGGTGCTTGTGTGTCCTCAGGTGACTGGCTCACGCATTTTCCTGCCTCCCATTCACTCTCCCCCCTTCTCACTCCTCTCTCCCCCTTCCCCCCTCCCCTCTTCCACGCACACGCACTTTGATCTTTGGAAATACAGGGTCCATGGTCTCCACATGTGGTGTGGCACAAGGCAATCCCTGTCCCTCCCTCCATTCCCGCTCACCCACTCACTCGCTCCCTGACACAGCATTTGTTATCGTCATATATCGTATGCCCATTCCTCTCCTCGCTTCCCTTCCACTCCTCGCTTCCCTTACTCACCCCCACACTCAAATACAGATCCCAGGCAACACAGGGTCCATCGCCCGCACGTGTGCGTGCTGCCTGTGTGCGTGCAAGACATTTTTCCATCCTCAATTCCTCTCCCCTCCCCCGTTCCCTTCCCCCCTCCGCACCGCACACTTACTCACAGATCCCAGGCAACACAGGGACCATCGCCCGCACATGTACCGTGGCACATGTGTGCGTGCACTAACCCGTCCATCCTCTCTTCCCTTCGCCACAAAACGCGCACTGCAGATCCCAGGCAACACAGGCTCCATCGCCCGCACATGTGCTGCCACGGCCGTTCCACTGCACCTGGTCAAGGTGGGTGTGTGGGATGGGATGGGGCAGTGGGAGGAGAGGAGGGGTTTAGCTCCGTGTTACCACTCTCTCATAGATCCCGGGCAACACAGGCTCCATTGCACGCACATGTGCTGCCACGGCCGTTCCACTGCACCTGGTCAAGGTGGGTGTGTGGGATGGGATGGGGCAGTGCGAGGATAGGAGGGGGCTGGACTCATGTAACCGTTTATCACTTGTCCATGTGAGTGCCTGCCCCAACATGACTCGTTGCTGCCGTCCCTGCTTGCCTCTGCTTGCATCCTTCTGTGCTGTCACGGCCGCAGCAACGATAGGATCGTTTAAACGTCTCCCACGGTACACTCTCCCTTCGTGCACTTCCTCTCTTGTCCTGCAGCCCCTGGGGTTTGACATCACGGATTCAAAGCTCAAGCGAGCAGGGCTGGACTACGTATGTGGTGGTGAACGTGCATGACAGTTGGGGTGCATTCATGGAGTATTTCAGGCAGCAGGTGAGCCTGTTGGGTCGGCTTTTGGGTGACTCAGAGGTCAAGCGGGCAGGGCTGGACTACTGCCCGTACGTGGTGGTGACCGTGCACGGCAGCTGGAAGGCGTTCATGGAGTATTCCAGGTAGCAGGTGAGGGCACGCATACGTTGGCAACAGGTCATGTTCCTCTCCCCCTTCTGCCCGTACATGGTGGTGAGCGTTCACGAGCTGGGGCGCGTTCATGGAGTATTTCAGGTAGCAGGTGAGGGCACGCATGCGTTGGCAACAGGTCATGTTCCTCTTCCCCTTCTGCCCGTGCGTGGTGGTGAGCGTTCACGAGCTGGGGCGCGTTCATGGAGTATTTCAGGTAGCAGGTGAGGGCACGCATGCGTTGGCGACAGGTCATGTTCCTCTCCCCTCTCTGCCCATACATGGTGGTGAACGTTCACGAGCTGGGGCGCGTTCGTGGAGCATTTCAGGTAGCAGGTGAGGGCCATGAATGTGCAGGTGAGTATTTCATGGACTATTTCACCTCTAAAGCAGGTCGTTTCCTCTCTGGCTCATGGTGGTGAGTGTGCACGACAGCTGGGGGTGCACTCATGAAGCATCATGCAATGCAACATCCTTCCCTGTCATCAGCCTTACAGTTCCTCCACCCCTCCCTAGTAGTAAGCCCCCCACCCCCTTCTCCCTGCCCCCTTCCCTGCCTGCCGCCCTCCCCACCTCTGCCCACAGCCGGAGCCCAAGCGGCTGATTGCCTTTTCCAAACGAGGCTCGGTGCCCCATCATGTGAGATGTGCCTAGCAAGGGTGGTGGAGGAGAGTAACTCTCCTACCCTCTCCCTCCACCCCGCTCCCTGCTTGCTGCCCACCATTCTCTGCCCACAGCCGGAGCCCAAGCGGCTGATTGCCTTTTCCAAACGAGGCTCTGTGCCCCATCATGTGAGATGTGCCTAGCAAGGGTGGTGGGGAAGAGCATGGGTGATGGTGGGGGGAGTGATGGGGTAGGGAACGGGAGGGAGTTGTGGAGGAATGGGTGGGACTGTGGAAGGCCGTGGCAGGAGAAAGCTATCATCTACACTTGATGCATGAAGGCACCATCATATTCCACTCTATAATCTCACTCTATGTCCCCTTCCCTTTCCATCACTCCTAAGTGGGTCTGATTTGTGTCCTATTTTTCTGCAGGATATTCAGTATCAACCAGGTGACTGGCTGTTGTTTGGAGCTGAAACGTTTGGCCTGCCTCCAGAGGCCATTACAGAGTGTTCGGTTGGGGACCATGCGGGAGGGATCGCTCGCATTCCTATAGACGAAACATATGTCCGCTCTCTAAACCTCGCCGTGTCGGCAGGAGTAGGAGTATACGAGGCTTTGCGACAGATTGAAGGCCATGCAGACAATTCTGCTGTTAGGAATTAGCAATATGATGCAGAACTGTACATTCTTCGTTTGTATATTCTGCAGAAGATAATGTTTATGGGGAACGCCCTTCTCCCACAAAGGGGGGACTGCCAAATTGTTTATGAAAGTTGCCGCGTGGCAGGTCTCTGGTGGGGTTGAGGGCCTTGAGGCCCCACTAAGCTTTTGTTATTTTGCGCAAGCTGCACAAGCCACATTCTCATAGCTTTCCAAGATCCTGGGCAATGCACTGGGGAGGTTGTTATGGTTTTCCCAACTCCTTTCCACCTCACAAACTGACCAAATGTTTTTGTGTGACTAAACATCAGTAGCTGGTGCTGGTGACGAGGTGGAATTCTCTGCTCTCCAGCACTCAGCTTGATTTCAAAAGGATAGTTTCGGTCGTATAATGAAATTTCTGGTTTGGTTGGAAACCTCGACCAAATCGACAAAAACATGCCGACTTCCAGCCCATTTTGAACCACAGCTGTGTTCTTCGGTAGGGGAGGGGAGAGAGAATGACTCCAGTGGCCAAAACGGTGATTCACCATCCCTCGCGTGGCCACGAATGACTCGAGTGGCCACCAAATTTGGTGATAATGACTCGAGTGGCCACGCCAGGGGATTCTTGCTGGCTTTTTTTTTCTTTGGCGCTACGGGGCTTTGTACCCACGGGGCTTTGTAGCCACGAAATTCCCCATTCGTGCGAGTGGTATCCTTAGGTAGTGTTCCGTTCTGTTCCGCACCCGAAAATTTCGCCCACACACTGTACACAAAACCGTAAAAAATGCACGACCAACAGTAGTTGCGCGGTCATTTTCGGCCCAATGCCCGACCAATGAGTGCGCGGTAAAAAAAATCAGCGATCATAAACAGCTCTGCGGGGGCATAAATGCGCGAACACATTAGTGACCGCGGGCAATAAAAAAAACTAAAACCCGCTCGGAAGGCATGCCATCCGAGGGAGCCTCAACCCTAAAATTTTAGGGTTGAGGCTCCCGAATGGCATGCCGTAAGCCATGGGGTTTATTTTTTATATCACCTTAGGGTAATGCGCCGTGAAAAAAAAAGCCAGCAAGAATCCCCTGGCGTGGCCACTCGAGTCATTATCACCAAATTTGGTGGCCACTCGAGTCATTCGTGGCCACGCGAGGGATGGTGAATCACCGTTTTGGCCACTGGAGACATTTTCTCGGGAAGGGATCTTCCTGGGGCTACACCTAACCACCGCTATTTTCTTTCGGTCTATTTTCAACCCCTTTTGTCGCGACTCAGTTGGAGGGCTGAGGGGTGCCCCGATTGTGTACAGTGCTGACGTGTAATGCCATGTGCGTGAACTGTCAAACTATATGTGCTGCATATTGTCTAGGCTGTAGTGGGGTAGCCCATATGGGGTACAACCCAATCAGGGTTTACTACTTGTACTCCTGCATCCTGTTAGTTCAGCCATTCCTGCTGCTAGATTCTAACATGGTTTCAGAGCACTAAGGTCCGTAGGACCGTTTTTTTTTTTCGGGCCCACCTACCGCTGCGGTTACCGCGCTACCCCACGTACCTGCCTGCCTTGCCTTGCCTTGTGACGTGCTGCACAAGCGCTGCCTCCTGCTGCCCTAGGCCAGCGCGCTGCCCCTAGAGGCCCGTAAAGCCCGCGCGCCGCCTCTACACGCCTGTCAGGCCCGCAAACACGCTGCTACCGCGCGCTGCCCGCACCGAAACCGCGCAGCCCGCACCGAGTCGCGCGCAGCCCGCTGCAGCCGCGCGCAGCCTGCACCGAGCCGCGCACAGCCCGCTGCAGCCGCGCGCAGCCCGCACCGAGCCCACGCAGCCCGCGTCGAGCCGCGCGCGGCCTGCTACGGCCTCGCGAGGCCCGCGCGCGGCCCGCAGCAGCCCGCGCCGAGCCGCGCGCGGCCTGCTACTGCCTCGCACGGCCCGCGCGCGGCCCGCAACAGCCCGCGCCGAGCCGCGCGCGGCCCGCTACTACCTAGCGCGGCCGCGCGCGGCCTGCAGCAGCTCCGCGCGCTGTCCGCGCAGCCCGCGCCGAGCCGCGCGCGGCCCTCTGCCTCGGCCCCGACCTGCCGCTGATGCGGCCCCGCCCCGCAGCTGCCACGGCCCCGACCTGCCGCTGATGCGGCCCCGCCCTGCAGCTGCCACGGCCCCGACCTGCCGCTGACGCGGCCCCACCCTGCTCCTGCCGCTGAAGCGGCCCCGCCCTGCAGCTGCTTCGGCCCTGCTCTTCAGCCGGTGTTGCGGCCCCGACGTCGCCGCTGTCGAGCGCCGGCCATGCTCGCCCGGTGAGCGCCTGCTCTCCCAGCCTTTGGTGAGCGACTGCCTGCCTGCCTGCCGGCCTACCTGTCTGCCTGCCTGCCTGCCTGCCTGCCTGCCTGCCTGCCTGCCTGCCGGCCTGCCTGCCTGCCTGCGCGCCTGCCTGCCTGCCTGCCGGCCTGCCTGCCTGCCTGCCTGCCTGCCGGCCTGCCTGTCTGTCTGCCTGCCTGCCTGCCTGTCTGCTTGCCTGCCTGCCTGCCTGCCTGCCTGCCTGCCGGCCTGCCTGCCTGCCTGCGTTCCTGCCTGCCTGCCTGCTTGCCTGCCTGCCTGCCACGCCTGCCCTGCCCGCGCTAATGATACTGGCAGGTGGTCAGATGCAGCTCCAGCGACGTTCACGCGAGCCTCTCACGCCCCAGCAGCTTAGTGAGTGGTATACTAGCTGGGGTTGTCGCGGTAGCCGTCGTAGCTGTCGCCCTGGGGCTGGTCAGTTGGGAGCGTCTAGCAGTGGCCAGCTGCAGCTGCAGGGGCGTCCACGCGAGACACTTACGCCTCGGCAGCTCCAGGAGTGGTACGCTCAGTGTAGCAGGTCTACACGTACAGTTCGCTGCCCGTACGTCATTCGCACAGGTGCTAGGACTGGTCAGCCTTGTGGGACACTTGGTCACACACAGTCCCGCTGCTTCGCCCGTCTGAGCGACGACTGGCGCACAGTGTTTGGCGACGAGGCTGAGCTCCCCACCTGGCTAGAGCTGCATGGACAGGGGGTAGATATCTTTGCGCGTGACTATGATGCTATTCTCACTGCCATGTATGCATTGTCTACTAGTGCTGACCGTGCCTGTTGCCTGTGCGTACCGCCTGACCCTGGTGAGGCTGCTGCCCTAGGTGCTAGTGCGTCTCCTGCTCTAGGTGCTGGTGAGGCTGCTGCTCTCGGTGCTAGTACGTCTACTGCTCTAGGTACTGGTGAGGCCGTGGCTTCAGGTGCTGCTGTGTCTGCTCTCTCTGGTACTGCGCCCACTGCGGTCTCGCACACCTTCACCCTTGACTCAGGAGCTTCCCGCTCCTTCTTTCGCGACTGCACCGCACTCACGCCGCTCCGTCGGCCAGTCCCGGTCTCCCTGGCGGACCCCTCTGGGGGTCCAGTCCTTGCCCACTATTCCACGGTTCTGCCGTGTCCGGCCGTCCCGTCCGGCTCGCTGTCAGGTCTTTACCTCCCCTCGTTCTCTACGAACTTGGTGAGTGGAGCTGACCTCCAGGATGGGGGGGTTCACCAGTTCACTCCTGCGAGTCAGCGAGTGACTCACTGTACGTGTGCTAGGACGGGCCGGCACTTGGCCACGTTCACCCGTGCACCTGGCTCGAGTCTGTACACACTGACCACTGAGTCCCCTCAGGTAGCTGCGTCTGCGTCTGCGTCTGGTCAGCTGGCGGCCCCCTGCGAGTGTCGCGCTTTGTCGCACGACACTTTCCTGTGGCACCACCGCC